GATGACTGTTTACGTGAAGCTAACTGATGTCTTGAAAATAGTTCATTTTTAGATTTTCAAAATAAGGTTTCCAGGTTTTTTATAGCACCCTCAAATGATTCAATGTCAGCAATATAGTCGAACACGGAAGGAGATAAATAGTTAATGAGGATATCAAATTTATCTTCTGATTGTATAGTTTTCATGAAGTTTGTAAAAGTTCTTACCTAGTGTGACTATTCTTTAGAAACTGATGCAGAATTGGGATTGCTGTCAAATTGTTCTAGTCTTAAATATTTATCCATTAAAATATGAAGAATAAATTGTAGTATATTGAATTTAATAGTCTATAACTAATTCTAAGTATACATAGACGGCTTTATTCTTCATATAATAATATGAAAACTAAAATATAAGAACAGGTTTGTTTTAGTTCACACATAATAAAACTCAACAAGGATAATAATAAGAAGAATCAACACAGGTGTCATATCTTTGTATACTTAAAACCTATATTTGTGAACTGTGTCAACCTGGTACTCAAAAGAAGGGAAATTATTAAAAAATCTCAAAAATAAAATTTCATTTATAAAAATTATTTTGAAAAAAAAATTATTTTTAAAAATTTGGAAAATAAACTTTTTTTAAGTTTTAGATTAAATAAAATATTTTTTATGTTTTTTATTATACTCGATATGTTTTTTTAAAAAATAAATATATATTTTTTTTAATATTAGGGACTATTTAAAGGTCTTGGGGGCAACTCTTAAAATATTTTTTTATTCAAAATTTGTATTTCCAGTGTTAATTTATTATATAGTAGGTTTAAATTTATTCAAATGCAATTTTTGAAAATTGTTATTTTTTCGACCCACCCTAATGCACATTTGTCAATGTTTTTTATTTCTGTTTTTGAAAAGACCACAATCCAATTGATTGTGAGAACTTTTGGAAAAAAATTGAACCAATGCATCTGCATTTTTATAATTGAACTCAAACTCAGTAAAATTTTATTATACTTTTGAAATTTAGGATTAAGTTTTATAAAACTAAAAAATAATCAGAAAACACAATTCAATAACTTAAGGAACAATTTGATGGCCAAAGCTGTTTCAGTTTTATTGTTACGTTACTCTCAGATGCTTAATACAAGGTGAGATGGGAATGAAAGGATGGGTGGGAATTTTTATCCACATGTAAAAAATGAAGGAGGGGGGGTAAGATGAGAAAAGGAGGAAAAAGAATTCTTAATAAACAAGTGAGTGGGAATTTTTATTTCCAAAGGTGAGTTCATATTCATATAAGATCTAAACATAGAATTTTTAATAAACCTTCATTCAAAATATTGCGGAAATGCACTTAAGTTCATGTTTGTTAATTCATGACTTTTTTTTTTGTTACTTATATTATTATTTTACAAGTTTTGTTCTTTCTGTTTTTGACTAATTGTTTTTAACTTATTTGTTTCTAGGTAGCCAACTTAAGTTCTTCAAATTTTAAGACTTTTAAGTTTTGTAATAACATGTTTTTAACAATGATGTGCTCAGCATTAGGAAATTTATTTTTCATAAAAAACTGTTGGCACTAGAAGATTGTTAAATCCAAATAAAAGTATTGTATCAAAGGTCAAAGACTTGATCATGAAATATTACTGTAAAGTTACATACTTGTCAAGTCAAATGAATATATGTACCTTGATATGTGAATGTACCTTGAAAGAATGAAAGTATGCACATTGAAGTGTGAATATATTTACCTTAAAAGAATGAATATTTGCACCTTAAAGTGTAAGTATAAGTACCTTGAAAGAATTAGCTTATGGGCCTTGCAAGATTGAATATATGCACCATAATGAATATATGCAAATTGTAAGAATCTTCTATTTAAGGGTCGTCCATAAATTACGACACAGTTTTCGACATTTTTTGACCCCCTCCCCCTCGTACTTTATTGACACCCCTCTCCCAATATTATGCAACAATTTTGTTCCCCCCCATCCCTAAAAAAAATTTTTTTTAATTTTTTAGAGAGGATTGAAAGGGGTGCAAAATAAAATACAAAACCATTTTAAATATAATAATGTCCATAATTCTCTGAACTACTTTGAGTTAATTAGTGTTTTTCATTCTGTTTAATGTTTTTTTTTTCACCCCAATAGTTTTGTGTAAAATTGTATAAATTAACATTGCTCTCCTAAACATGATACCAATTTTAAGAAACTATTTTTCAGAAATATAATACATGCAAAATATTATATATATATATATATATATATATATATATATATATATATATATATATATATATATATATATATATATATATATTATATATATATATATATATATATATATATATATATATATATATATATATATATATATATATATACATATATATATATATATATATATATATATATATATATATATATTATATATATATATATATATATATATATATATATATATATATATATATATATATATATATATATATTAAGCAATAACATATTATACATGCAAAAATATTAATTTATTTTAAAAATTTTATTTATTTTAACTAGCTACGTAAGCCTGGTCGAGTGGATTCTGCCTCCGGCTATTAAACCGAAGGTTTCAGGCTCATTTTTCGGTATCGAAATTATTTTTTTTTTAGTTATTACACAAAGATTGTTTTTTTGTTGATGCACACTTTTGTGCACCAACAAAATTAAGTTCTGCACTTAAACCATATAAATTCAAAGCGCAGAACGTGCACTGCCGTTCAAAACAAACAGCCATAACAGTCCATTAACAGGCTGTAACGGTTAAAATTTACAATCAACATGTAGATACATCAACTGAGAGTTTTGGTTTGGTCAGATACTCTTTTAATTAAAAGAATGTCTTCTCTAAAAAAAAAAAAAATATTGTGTCACAAAATTGAGACCCCCCTCCCCTTATAACAAATCGCGACAAAATCGCGTACCCCCTTCCTCCCTAAACATGAGGTAATTTATGGACAACCCGTTAAAAGAAAATAATTTTTTTAAAGGAAAAAAAAAAAAGTAACAATACTCCAAAAAATATTAAATAAGCACAAAATATTAATGGTTGCGCCCTTCCACTTTCAAACGCACATTGTCAACCCTGAACATTATATAAATTAATTCATGATATACATGAAATATTATTCTTATTTACACTCAAACAAGATTTAAAGTATAAAAATTGTTCTCTTGATTTAAGTTGTTATTTTTTGGTGGCTTTTAAGCATGTTTAAATATATTTGATAAATAATATGAAGAATTCTACAACAAAAGCAAATTAAAGCAACACTTAGTTAAAACAGTAAAAAAATAATAGTAGACAATCAAATCGAAGGATAGAAATTGAATTGAACAAACACTAAAAATCTTTAGAAATAAAACAATATAAAAGTAAACAAAATTCTTTAAGGAAAAAAAAAGTTTCTCTAAAAAATTAAAAGGTTTTCTGAAATTTTAAAAAAATTTGTTTTTTTTAATTCTTAGAAAACATCTTCACTTCCAACAAGGTTGCAAGCAACCACTATTAGAGTTGGAAGTTACTGGAAGTTTATAAAGCAAAATAATGAATAACAGACAACTTAAAAGATTTGCAAATTATATAAATTAGGAAAACAAGATGAAGCGAGCAAATTCCAAAGAACTGATGTTCAATGAAAAAAACTAAACAAATTTTGGAGCACATAGGAACAGTCGCAGTAAAAAGATAAGACTATACTGAATGAAGATTGAAAGTGAATACATAAAAATGAATTTTAGCACAAGAGTTGCTATCTTTTTAGAGCAGCGCCCATTATAGTATTTATTAAAAAGAGAAAAAGAAGCAACACTATGATGATGTGACAATAGTTGAGGTGAGTACAATAAACAGATGCAAAAAAAAAAAGGTAGTATCAAAAGCGAACAATGTCACTTTTAGATGTGAGAACTTCTGGGAGATCCTTAATGTAAACTTAAAAAAGTATAAGGCCAAGAATAGAACCTTGACACACTCCTTAAGTTAAAAGAAATGAATAAGAGTGTAGTCAATCGAGGACAACTTTTATACTAAAAAATAATTAGATGGAAATTTCATTAACTCAAATTTTGGAGAGTCATACTTTATTCAACCCACCTAATCTTGCACTAAAGATATTTTGCACTATTATGTTTGTAAAAGCAATCTTTGCATTTCATTGTATGACTGTATTTAATTATATGATCATTGTACTTTGCTATTCCCTTTAATTCGCTTTATTTCTTTAAAAAAACAAAACAAGATATTTATGTTGTGTTAAAAAATTAACATCAATTGACGTTGTGTACTTTAAATTATTTTATGTACAGTAGTTCAAAGTAAATTACAAAATTTTAAATTTCAGATATGTACTTTTGTAATTTTCTTTAAAATAAAATTCAAAATAAACAGGAGAGAGGATAAAGTATATTAGCAATAAAATCTTGCTCTCAAAATTTTTCAGAGCTTGACAGGTTTGAAGTTAACAAAGCAAATGTAAAAGTTTTTTAGACTATATATAAAAAAAAGTAAATTTTATCTGTACTACAGAAAACAATTATGGTCCTTTTTCCATCTCTTAAAGTTGCAGTAGAACCAACAGTAAGCAAATTGCTGTTTTTTTCTTCAATTCAAAAGAAATTTTATGTTTTTAATGTTCTATGGAACAGAAGAACAGGATAGACTTTTTAATTATGTATAAAAGTTTTAATATTCCCAAAGGATTTTAACTTAACATAAGTTAAATATATTGTTTATAAAAATGCTCAAGACTGGTGACATTCTCTTAAAAGTTACATGTACTTTAAATAAAACAAAATGAAGAAAGCAGCCAACACAAAATAAAATTGATTCTTCATCACAAATCTTTTTAAATAGAATATATATAAACATACAGATTCTAGTTGTTTATCTTATATATGTGTACAATTTAATACTAGTACAAAATTATGCCTAATGTATTGTTATTAACCAATTAAATTTTAATATCATATTTACCTTTCTGCATTTGTGAATGTGCCTTTGAAATCTTTGTGCTGTTATAACGTGAAGAGGATCATAAGGACAAATTATACTTGCATGAGGATCCCATTTTCTTTGGCTCATTTTTGATGCAATACTTTTAGATCTATGTCATTATAATTTAATTTTTTTTGAATAAGAAAACATCATTTCTGATTAAATATATTTTCAGATCTACATAATAATTAAAACATTTTTTGGAATAAAAACACACTATTATATGGGCATAAGGTATTAAGGGACAAGAAACCATAAATTTTCATATAAAGTTAAAACAATTGGTACAATTTCACTGCTTGTAAAGGTATAAACTGTTTTAAATAGAGTATTATAATTTTTAGCCAGTAGAACTTAAGATAACAATATTCTATTTAAACATGAATAATAAAAATCTGTTTAAAATACCACAACAGCAATAGCAAAAACAGCAACAACAAAAACAGCAACAACAACAGCACCTTTTTTATTTTTCATAAATCATTTTTACAATAGTTTTATTATTATGTATAACAAAAATAATGATAATATCAATAATAATAGAAATAATAGTAGTAATAATAATAATAATAATAATATTAATAATAATAATAATAATAATAATAATAATAATAATAATAATAATAATAATAATAATAATAATAATAATAATAATAATAGTAAGATATTAAAATTAATACAAATTTTAGTAATAGTAATAATAAGTATGTTTACAATGAAAAAATAATAATAATAAAATTTTAATGGTAGTTATAATCATAAAATTATTCATAATAATAAGTTGATGATTTATTAGGATGGTGTCATTCATATACAAGTCAGTTTTTAGAAGTGACACCAATTTTTAAATATAATATATGTAATAATAAGCACAAAGACCTACATCGAAACACATGAAACATAAACACATAGTTTAAATCGCATAGAACATACATTTAAAAAAAACATAATTTATAGGTTATAACAATCAAAAGTAAAATAAAAAAAAAGCAAAAAGTACTGATGATAATTGTAGTAATAAGGAAAAGTAATTTAAAAGAAAATTTTAATAGTAACAATCACTGATTGTTACTATTTTTTTAATAGTAACAATCACTGATTGTTACTGATTTTTGTTTTGTACCACATTTGCGTCTCCTAAAAAAAGAAACATAGGTCCTTAATTTCTGAGATATTTTAAGAGCCATTCTGGTAGTGGTGGCGGTGAGAGGGGGGGGGGGAGAAGGGGATGCATACTTCCATTTCCTCCTCCCCTTTTTTTTGGTTTGTCACTGATTGAATCAGTGACAAACCAAAAAAAAGGGGAGGAGGAAATGGAAGTATGCATCCCCTTCTCCCCCCCCCCCTCTCACCGCCACCACTACCAGAATGGCTCTTAAAATATCTCAGAAATTAAGGACTGATTGTTACTATTTTTTTAATAGTAACAATCACTGATTGTTACTGATTTTTGTTTTGTACCTTGTTTTGTACCTGGCTCTTAAAATATCTCAGAAATTAAGGACCTATGTTTCTTTTTTTAGGAGACGCAAATGTGGTACAAAACAAAAACATATCCCCCCCCCCTCCTTCCTCCCAAATTGATTTTGTTTAAGATGCAGAAAAAGAATTTAAAGATGTAGTTTTTGAACTCATTGAAAATGCATACATAGCCCCTGCTCCATTAACAGACGCACTGATAAACAATAAAATATTTATCATACTTCTGGGTTTTAAAAGATGACATATTTAGTTTTCCATTGCATATATCTCTAGTAGTATAGAAATGTATTAGGCTACTTCCTGTGAAGTTTGTGATGGAATATGGTAAATTTTTATTAAGGGAGTCAAAAATAAAAAGAAGATTAGCATACTTTACTAATACTAGAAATTTTAGATTAAGTATTTCAAGGGACTCTGAAGTATCTGATTTAATTGGTTGGAAGTTAATTATTCTAATGGATTGACGCTGAGACAGTTGCAATTTGTTAATGCAACATTTTCCAATTTGACCCCAAACTTAACAATAATAGCTAAGATTAGATGAGGATAATGCATAATAATATTCTTAAGTGTAACTTTATCGACATAATTATAAATTATCGAAAGCATACCATTAGCTTGAGGGTCTTGCTTAATTTATTAATGTGATTTTAATTCCAACATTTAAAAAAAAAAATTTTCTCTGAGATGAAAATAAAAGTCTTTTCGGTGTTAAGTCATATTAGGTTAGCATTTAACCAATGAACTATACTTTTTTGACCTGAATTTACATTTTTACATAAAGAATGATTTGTTGATATGCAAGAGATGTATCACAGAAAATAGATGAACTGACGAGAAGTGAATATAGTTGGTTTTGTCGTTAACGAAGATTAAAAACAAAAGAAGACCAAGAACAGAAAACTGCAATCTTCTGTAACATTGCAATGTTCAGAACATTGCAATGTCGATATCCTCAATATCGAGGAACATCACAAACTAATTTATTACTAGAATTCAAAATAATGAGGAACTGTACAAAATGTAGGGCAAAAAATAATAATATTCTATTTACACATAATAATACTTTATTTAAAATTAATAATTTTGACTGTAGGCTGAAAAATAATAACATAGTAAAAACAAATAGTGTAAAATGCTAATACGGAAAAACGTGCATTTTTTTTGACGCAAAATTACGTCACGAGATGCGACTGTGTGATAGAGGTTGCGAGATTGTGACACTGCGCGATAGAGAAAGAAAAGTAGTTAAATAAAGCTGATTTGATTTATTTTTATATAACTTTTTAAAGCTCTAAAATTACATGAAGCTTAAATTTACAAATGTACTATTAATGCAGTGGCATCGCTATTAATGCAGTGGCATCGCTATTAATGCAGTGGCATCACTATTAATGCAGTGGCATCGCTATTAATGCAGTGGCATCGCTATTAATGCAGTGGCATCGCTTGAAGCAGACGACAATTTTTTAATGGTTTGTTTAAAAGAAGTTTTAAAAAAATAATAATATATATATATATTTTTTTAACTCTTATATTTGCAGTACATATAACATTTACAAGTTTTGTAAAGTAAAGGTGCAATATTTACAATTCTTGTGAGTCAAAATATATGATGAAATTTAATTTGAAAAATTTAAATTGAAAAAGTATTAAATAAATCGATCCTGAGTAATTATTGCAGCACGTTTCACAAATTTATCTTGGACATAAATTTTGCTCGAAGGAATCCAACTGTTACGAATGTAAAAGCCAAACTTACGAGATTTACATGATACAAACAACGAATACATATAATTTTTTTTTCAATTTTATTTTTACAACTTTTAACAAGGCTGCAAGCAACCACTATTAGAGTTAGAAGTTACTGGAGGAGAAAAGATGAAGTTTATATAGCGAGATAACGATTAACAGACGACTTAAAAGATTGCAAACTATATGAATCAGAAAAACAAGATGAAGGAAGCAAATTCCAAAGAACTAATTAGGTTAGGTTTATTCATTCGTGGTCAAAAATAAATTTACAAATTTTTTTTTGACAAAGAGCGGCACACAAGGCCTCTCTGTGATGAAAATACAGTTTTTCAATTTCAGCTTAAGTGAAGATGCCGTAGCAGAGAAAGTTCGTGTTTAAAATTGTTCAAGTTCTTTGCGTCCACCGCATTTTGGGTTAAAGAATTCCATAATCTTACAATACGGTTGGTAAAGAAGTTGCTTCTTTCAGCCCAGTTGTGCTCTTAGTTCATTAGTGTGTCCACGCGGCCGAAAACTGTACTTTGAAGATTCTGTGTTAGGTTGAAGTTGAGGGACGTTCAAGTTAACTTTATCAATTTTGGTCATGGTTTTATATTGTTTTTTCTCGTCGTTAATTTAGTGTTGTCAGTTTAAAGCTTGATAGTCTTTGAGCTTACGAAAGGTGTTTAAGGGAGGCAATATGTTTTGTGGCTCGGTGTTGAACTTGCTCAAGTTTGGCAATGTCTTGAGTTAAAAATGGTGACCAAGCCTAACGTAAAAATTTTTTGTGTGCGCCATAATGCAGAACCTCGACCTCGAAAAGCCTTCTTGAACCTGCCAAGCATTCGGTTGCCACCTGATGCAGCCGCACAGACATGTTTTTTAACTTTTAGTTCACTCGTTATAAAAACGACTAGGTCTCGTTCAGATGACGTGCATGATAGCTGGTGCAGTTGGCCGTCCAGGTTAGTCATTGTATAAATTGCAGTCGATTTTTCTTTTGCTGCGCCAGGTGTGCATGACTTTGTACTTGTTGACATTAAATGACATGAGCCATGTGTGCGACACTTCACTGCTTCGTTGATATCGGCTTGGAGTTTTATGATGTCGTGGTTTGATTCTATAGTTTCGATTATTTTACAGTCATCTGCATACACTTTAAAGTGGTGTTGTATTATGTCTGGTAAATTGTTAATGTAGATAAGGAACAGGAGTGCTCCAAGAACAGATCCTTGTAACACCGCTAGAGACAGTTTTCCAATTAGATTTATTGTTACCAATGGTTACGCGTTGCAGCTAGTCAATTAGCCAGCTTTTGATCCAATCGAGCAAGTTGTCAATCACTCCATATGATTATAGCTTGTGCATCAGTCGAAAGCTTTAGCAAAGTCTGTGAGTATTATATTGGTTGGGTAACCTTTGCGGGCAGCTTCAGCCAGTATGTCGCAAGTTTCGAGTAGGTTTGTGACTCAACCTTTTTCTTTTCGGAACCCGTGTTGAGCAGAGCTGATGAGTTTATTTTTGTTTAAGTGGTCAGTAATGTGTTTGTGTAAAAAGCTTTCCATTACTTTGCAAGGGACAGATGTGCGTGAGATAGGTCGATAGTTTGAGGGGTTCAACTTGCAGCCTTTTTTGAAAATAGGAGTAATTTCGGCTTTTTTCCATTGAGGCGGTACTTCTCAAGCTTTATGCGATTCAGAGAAGATAATGCATAGTGGGATAGCAAAACCTGCAGCACAGTATTTAAGAACGTGTGGATGAATACCGTCGAAGCCCATTGATTTAGAATTATTCAGGTTCAAAATTTTTTCTTTGACGGATTCGTTTAATTGGAGTGTGGTCGGTTGGTTTATGCTAGTGGAACAAGTGTTGAATGTTGGTATAGACCCTAGCGGTTCGATTTAGAAACTGATTGGAAATATTAGTTAAGAGTGTTGCAGATTACTTTAGGATTTGTTGTTGT